GAAGGAGAAAAGGAGAAGAATGACGGAGAGAAAGAGAAGAATGAAGTTGTTACAACTCTCGAACCACCCCGAGATCACATGCCCCGTATCCGCTCTGAAATGCAAATTTGGTCAGAAGATGATAAATCAAGTCGAAACCTTTATATTGTCCTAATCAGGCAAGTAGAGATTGGTTTATCTGACTTATTTGTTATTGTCAATATGGTCATGGGACTTACCCCGTGCTTCTATTTGGTTCCATCCTTTTCCACTTGCAGTATGCATGGACTCGTGCGTGGAGAAAACATGGAGCTTGGAAGAGACTCTGATACTGGTGGACAGGTATTTAGCCATCTTCTTGTAGACTTCTTAGTAATTGAACAGTTTACGGTGCTTCACGTGTCGCTTCTGGCTTTCTTAATTTTTCATTCTGAAGAGTCTTGTTAATGGACGAATAGGTGAAATATGTTGTTGAGCTTGCTCGTGCCTTGGCCAACACTGAAGGTGTCCACAGGGTCGATCTCTTAACACGGCAGATCAGTTCACCAGAGGTTGACTACAGCTACGGCGAGCCAGTTGAGATGTTATCATGCCCTCCAGAAGGTAGCGACAGCTGTGGCTCCTACATTATCCGCATCCCCTGCGGTTCACGGGACAAGTACTATCACATAAAACTCCTTGGAATTTATGTATTCAAATTCCTGCAGGTACTCACGTTTTTCTATACTCACGTTTTTTTAAATGCAGGTACATACCAAAGGAGTCACTCTGGCCCCATATTCCCGAGTTTGTTGATGGGGCGCTAAATCACATAGTGAGCATAGCAAGATCTCTGGGAGAGCAAGTGAATGGAGGGAAACCAATCTGGCCTTATGTAATTCATGGCCACTATGCTGATGCAGGAGAAGTAGCTGCACATTTGGCAGGAGCGTTAAATGTGCCAATGGTGCTAACTGGTCATTCTTTGGGAAGGAATAAGTTTGAGCAGTTGCTTCAACAAGGGAGAATTACCAGAGAGGATATTGACAGAACATATAAGATCATGAGGAGGATAGAGGCTGAAGAACAGAGCCTTGATGCAGCCGAGATGGTGGTGACAAGCACACGACAAGAGATTGAGGCACAGTGGGGGCTGTATGATGGTTTTGATATCAAGCTGGAGAGGAAGCTCAGGGTTAGACGACGGCGTGGAGTCAGCTGCCTTGGCCGATACATGCCACGAATGGTGGTATAAGTCCTTTTCCGCCTCCGATAGCATCTGACAAATGATAACACGATTAGTATCAAAATAATTATAATCAAGTAGACACTGCAGTAACTAGTGCCAGCTAATTGAAAAAGCAAACTGAAGTGAAAGTAGAATCATTCACCAATCTGACCTGTCTTGGTGGCATCAGGTTATACCGCCAGGCATGGATTTCAGCTACGTCTTGACACAGGATTCGCAAGTGCCTGATGGTGATCTTAAGTCACTAATTGGCCCTGACCGAAACCAGATAAAAAAGCCTGTGCCTCCAATATGGTCTGAGGTACTCTTCTTTCATTATTGTGTTATTACCAACAGAAGTCATATCCAATTTTATGCAAGAAAGGTTACACTCTCGTTTTTCCCTGTCTTTCGATCCATGGAGCAAATACTTACATGAACCTATTACCTGCAGATAATGCGATTTTTCTCAAATCCTCATAAACCAACAATACTTGCGCTGTCTCGTCCTGACCACAAGAAAAATGTCACCACATTGGTCAAAGCTTTTGGTGAATGTCAGCCTCTTCGAGAACTAGCCAACCTGGTAAGTATCTCAGCATTTATTACACATATGTTATCCAGTGAACTCTCATATGTAAATGAAGATTGTGAACGAGCATATTACTAATCCAACTAAATTGCTAATAAAACTGTCCCAGGTACTTATACTAGGTAACAGAGATGACATCGAAGAGATGCCTAATAGCAGCTCAGTTGTTCTCATGAACGTACTAAAGCTGATAGACCAGTACGACTTGTACGGCCAAGTAGCTTATCCCAAGCATCACAAACAATCTGAAGTTCCAGATATTTATCGTTTAGCAGCCAAAACAAAGGTACTTAACACTTAACAGGAAAATCCTATTAAACAATATGACGCACACTGTTTACTACTTCCTTGATTCCAGTAGAACATAAATCATAGATTTTTATAATGCAACATCTACAATTACTAGTTCCCATGTGCGTAGACCTTTGGTAGTTTCTCCTGAGTCTACATGGTACAAAAATATGTTATCGTTAGTAGTTTACCAGAACTCTTAGCCCTCCCTCTTTGCAACATGAACACCATAATTATAAGGTGGTTTTCTCTCTTGAAGGGGGTCTTCATTAATCCAGCTCTTGTGGAGCCGTTTGGTCTCACGCTCATTGAGGTAACTAGCAACTATGTCAGTGTACTTGTCTACTTATTATACACAACCAGATCTTCATGCCACACTATTTCTTGTGTGTATGACAGGCAGCTGCTTATGGTCTGCCCATTGTTGCCACCAGAAATGGAGGGCCTGTTGATATCGTGAAGGTAAACAAAGCTAATTGTATAAAGACATAGTCACACCTCACTGATCCCAGTAAGCTTATTAACAGTGCATATGTTTTGTTGCAGGCACTAAATAATGGTCTCCTAGTCGACCCCCATGATCAACAAGCTATTTCTGATGCCCTTCTAAAGCTAGTTGCTAACAAACATCTCTGGGCTGAGTGTAGAAAAAACGGACTCAAGAACATCCACCGTTTTTCATGGCCAGAGCACTGCCGTAACTATCTATCCCATGTCGAACACTGCAGAAACCGTCACCCCACCAGTAGTCTCGACATCATGAAAGTTCCAGAAGAGCTCACAAGTGATTCTCTAATGGATGTCGACGACATATCTTTGAGATTCTCCACAGAAGGAGATTTCACACTCAACGGGGAACTAGATGCAGGTACTAGACAGAGGAAACTAGTTGATGCCATAAGTCAAATGAATTCTATGAAAGGTCGCCCATCTGTTATCTACAGCCCTGGTAGAAGGCAGATGCTCTTTGTGGTTGCTGTTGATTCATATGATGACAAAGGAAACATCAAAGCGAATTTGGACGATATCATCAAGGATGTGATGAAAGCTGCAGATTTGACATCGCGCAAAGGGAAAATAGGTTTTGTGCTGGCATCAGGTTCAAGCTTACAAGAAGTTGTGGAGATCACGCAGAAAAACCTGATTAATTTGGAAGATTTTGATGCAATAGTTTGCAACAGCGGAAGTGAAATCTACTATCCATGGAGAGATATGATGGTTGATGCAGACTATGAAACTCATGTGGAATACAAATGGCCTGGTGAAAGTATAAGGTCTGTTATTCTGCGACTTGCATGTACGGAACCTGCAACTGAGGATGACATCACAGAGTATGCTAGTGCATGCAGTACAAGATGCTATGCAATTTCTGTGAAACAAGGAGTCAAGGTAGCTCTTTCAAAGAATATCTTTTTCATCAAGAGGAAAGCTTAAATCATAAATATATGTGTGAAACTAGAATTGATGTATATATGTGTGAATGGCAGACTCGAAGAGTTGATGACCTTAGGCAGAGGCTTCGGATGCGAGGTTTAAGGTGCAACATTGTCTATACGCATGCAGCAACAAGGCTAAATGTTATACCACTATGTGCATCAAGAATACAAGCACTCAGGTTAGAAACTGTCAAGAAAAAATAGTTTCTTTAATCATATACGCTATGTGTAAGATATCTACAGTGAAAATGACACGACTTGATGGCTTTATGTAGGTATCTTTCTATAAGGTGGGGAATTGACATGTCGAAGACTGTTTTCTTTTTGGGAGAAAAGGGAGACACAGACTATGAGGACTTACTGGGTGGCCTCCATAAAACCATCATTCTAAAAAATGTAGTGGGATCTGACAGCGAGAAGCTTCTGCGTAGTGAAGAAAATTTCAAAAGAGAAGACGCAGTTCCACAAGAGAGCCCTAACATTTCCTATGTCAAAGAGAATGGCGGACATCAGGAAATTCTGTCCACTTTAGAGGCCTATGGGATCAAGTAATAATTTTCTATTTCAGCTTATTATCTCAGATCATATACTTCAGTGGTTGGTAAACAGTGAAAATAACAAGACTACATACTTTCATATATTGTATACCGCAATAAAAAAGAGTTGAATATTAACTTTTCTTAGTACAGAACTACAGATCCAATAAAACAAGTATGCACAGCTTCTTCTTAGTTTTTAGACATTCAAACTTTAGAAAGATTGATACCTGAAGGATCATGGTACTCTATCTAGCGTGCTAACGCCCATCCTTCGGTCTACCATAGACCAACAATTTGTTCCTCATGGACCTCATCACATCCATATTTTGCAGTGTAAAAGATTTCCTGCCACAAGTGGAAGTTGTTGTGACAACAAAATTAAAAACCAAATGAGCCTGAAATCCAACTTTACAATCAATTGTTCGCAATATGTGGATTCTTAAACTAAAATATGCTCAATCAGCACAAGATTCTACCAAATCACAAGGAGACGTCTCAACAATAACAAAACTGAATCCAGAAACTATGACACAAAATTAACCCTGATCTAGGTCTTTCAACAAAGTCGGGACTGCAATTATCTGTATCAGTCCCTACAGAAATCATCACCACTTGATTCTCTACATCTAACCTCAATCAATTTCACCGAAAGTATCAGATAAGGCAAGACATTACCACCGTAAATAGATTCAGTAGAAAATGGAAAATTATGGTGGTGAAGAAGAAATACCATTCTTTTGAAAGCACATAGTCCTGATGTACTGCAAGTCGGCAAAGTACACCTACATCACTTCTCCTCGGAGAGGTTCTTATTCGCAAACGTAAGCACAGTGAAACTTAAAGAAGGTTCTGAATCAGATATTCGCAAGAACGCAAAAAATAAGACAATGTTACATGAATATTCAGCTTCGAGCAAATTCAAAAGGTGACATGATTGAAACTATAGAGGTGGAAACGAGTAGCAAAACCAAACGGCCCTTTTGTTTCCCATTATTATTCAAGTTCCTTATAGAACTAATAGTTCTTCAACAAATATAACAAATGAGTACAAAAATCACAACAGAAAAAACTTGCAAGAGAATTTCTTAAATCTGAACCAACCACGATCACATTGGTCACAAGAATACTTTTCCTAAATGAATCTATCCACACAGTCATAAACAACCATCCTCAAGCAGAACTCCTCCTGTCCAAACCTGACCATGACGATCACTTCGGCCTAAAGAAACCACCTTGAACAGAGATTCCTCAACTCTAAACCAACCCAGATCACCACATTGCTCACAACACATCTTCTTGAAAAGAAATCTTCATATCCGAATCAACCCAAACTCGTGTTTTCAAAGAACAAGAACCACAAGGAAGAACAACAGACGCAACAAAAGCACCCAATCTCTTAACACGAACACAATCACCATCTCTCAACAAAGCAAACCCCATTGTTCCTAACTCACTAGAATCAACACAAAAGTAATCACCACACCTACACTGATAAAAAAGATCAATAACTTCACCACTAATCTCCACTGACATATCCTCAATACTAATCTCATCAGCAGTGAGTCCATCATGTCTTGAAGATCTAAGATCATTATCGTAAACTACACGTAGCTCTGCATCACTTAAAACTTCCCAAGCTTTTTGAATCTTCAGAAACTTCTCATCGTCTGAGGTACGACGAGAATTGTTGTTGTTAAGCTTATCTGGATGAGAGTGGAGAATCGCAGAACGGTAGCTATTGCGGATTTCTTCATAGCTCGCATCTTCTTTCACTGAGAGAATCTCATAGTATGTCTCGTGAACACAATTCTCACCGAAAAGCATGTTGAATCCGTTAATCCGCGACGCTGCTAGGGCTTGAAATTTGACCGGCGACGGCGAGAAAATTCGGAGGTTAAAGAGAACCAAAAGGGAGTTATAGAGAGGAGAGAAGTTATCGCTGTTGGATCTTGGTCTGACCATTCGGGTTGTCGGGTCGATTCAGGTCAGTTTTTTTCTAAATTTCGGGTACTCCTGTAATGAGGTTTACAACCCACTAGATCCTGACCCGCACATACGTGCGGGATTTCATATTTTAAGAAATGTGTTGTAATAAATTTTTATTAAATATATAATTATTTTGTTGTTTTAGTGACATATATTGTATTGAATAAATTATAATGTACACAGAAAAATATAAATTATTATTTATGTTTGCTTATGACACAATAGCAACCATAAGTCATTTTTTGGAGTTTGAAACTGATGAGTAGATTAGAAAAAAATCTTAAATTGAAATATAATATAAATTAGATTGATGTTAAAAAAATAGTATATAGTTATAGTATCTATAAGCTAAACTCATATCAGTTGGTTGAAATATTTGAAATAATAATGATTTTAACAGTATTTTAAAATTCGTAACAATCAAACAGTCGGACCAAGATCAAACTGAATCGAATTAATGGCCAGGTAGATTTTTATTAAACTTGTGAACATTAAACTTGTAAACTATCAAACCGTATATAAAACTGTTAAAATGATTAAATACGTTTGCGAGAAATAGAAATATTTAGAGATAGACGTAATTCCCATTTAATTCTATCATGTTCCATTATATCTTATCCGTTCTCCAATTTATGTCTCATAAGAGAACGCATTTCTAATATAAGACAAATTTTGTATTTCCGAATAGAAACATGACGTGACGAAACAAAAATTCTCGATATCCTGTTTGGGACAAATACAAATATAATTTATAGTATATTTTTATATGATATGATAAAATAAAAAAATTTAGATTATATTGATGTTAAAAAAATTATTTATATAGTTATAGTATCTATAACCAAAACTCATATTAGTTGGTTGAAATATTTGAAATAATAATGATTTTAGTAGTATTTTAAAATTCGTAACAATCAAACGGTCGGATCGAGATCAAAATGAATTGAGTTAATGGTCAGATAGATTTTTGTTAAACTTGTGAAAATTAAACTTGTAAACTATCAAACCGTAGATAAAACCGTTAAAATGATCGTTTGCGAGAAATATAAATATTTAGAGATAGGCGTAATTACCATTTAATTTTATCATGTTCCATTATATCTTACCCGTTCTCCAATTCATATCTCATAAGAGAATGCATTTCTAATATAAGACAAATTTTGTATTCCCGATTAGAAACAGGACGTGATGGAAACAAAAATTCTCGATATCTTGTTTGGGACAAACACAAATAAGATTCATAGTATATTTTTATATGATGATATAATAAAAATATTACAAAATTAATTGACTTATTTATTCTTATTGTTTTATATTTTGTTCATAAATATTAAATTACATTTGTTTGTTTTTTAAATTTTAACTATTATAGAACATACTATAATAACATTTCTTATTTTGAACATTTTTATGCTATAGAAATTGAAAACACATGTTACATATTTGATTGCAAACGTTAATTTGTTTGAATTGTAACTTGTCCTGTCTTCTTCCATGTCGTTCCTGTTTCGTAATTCCTATTCTCTTTATATTACATTAAATATCATTTTTCGAGTTCATTTTTTCTTATCTTTAAACACCATACAATATACGGTAGTAGAGAATCATTTTGAATTAATTGTAAAAACTGTGTAAATTAAAAAGTAGCTTGTAATTAGTTAAATTAGTCATCTTGATTTGAATTCAATAGTTCCTTAAATTTAATATTTCTCACTTTGAAATATTTGCATTAAAAATTAAAATATTTGTATTTAAATTTATTTTAATGTTATTTGAAAAAAATAATAATCAATTCTAGAAGATTGTGTATTCCAAAATCTTGTAACAATTTGATACAAAATAAAATAATTATTTGATTTGAAATTGAATAATTTATTTTGAGATATAGTAACTATTATAGTACGTTTTAAAAATATATTAAAAATTTAGGTTAGTTATATATATTTAAAATAATGAAAACTACCCATTTTTAAAAAATATATATTCTAAAATTTTATATCATTTCAACTCTAATTAAATGTTAAATATTTTAATCTATCTTCGAAATATTTTCTAGATATTTACAAATTTAGAATCCAAAAAATTAGTTTTTGAATAAGCTGTATTTTAAAGGATGAAAATATTTCGTTTAAAATATATAGGACAAATATAATAAATGTTTTTTCATATTTGGAAAATCAAAATTGAAAAATCTTTTTTCCATGTGTACTAATCAGAATTAATTAGCATAGTATTGTTAAGGAAAATTTTAAAAATCTAAACGAAATGATAATTTGTTATTAGATTAGATTGCCATTTTCAAAAATATCTAATAATATCTTATGAAAATAATTTAGTTTACATATATGCAATTTTGAATTAAATATACACAATTACCCGTTTCGGTTTATTAATTTTCTTTCTTCAAATTTAAAAATATCAATGGCATTCTTTGTAATTATTTACCTTTTATAAGATTATATTTTATCCAATGTTTCCCAATTAATAGTATAAATCCACACTATTAATATCATAAACTTTTATAGATTGGTAACATCGTTGATAAATATTTTTTGTTGCAAAACTGATAATATCGTTGATAAATATTTATAATTTTAGTATTTACCAACCCGCAAATATTTAATTTTATTTTAAAACATATTATTTCTATTATTAGTTTAGTTTAGTTACAAATAATTCAACGTTTACATCTATACTATTAATTGTTTACATATTACGATTTGACAAAAACAAAATATTGGATGGAATGTATGTCGCATATTTTTTTTTGGCTATATACTTAATTTGTTATATTTGGTAAATGAGAAAATATCGGAATATATCTATAACATAAATATTATTACTTAGATTTTATTGTTAAAATATTTTGTATTTTTCAATTAATAACATTCGATTTATGTTGAATTTTTTTTGTTTTATCTCTAACAAATTGAAAAATACAAAATATTTTGATTTATATTCGAAATAAATATATTGATGCTGAATATTCAGTTATTATTTAATATTTAATGTTGTTTCCTTTTTTTTTTGTTTTTGTAGACAAATCATACCAAAAATATTGACGAAGCAAATCTCGGAATATATTGGATCATTTAATCTTGTTATTTGTTTTTGCAAAAAATTAATGAAGGATCCGAATCAAATATATTTATTTAGTTGTAGTAATTGTTTATTTACTAAACTACCCATGTAAAAATTCATTTAATTAGTTTTAAACTACCCTTACAATGTTGTAGTTCACAAAATGCTTCCCAATTAATAGTATAGATAGAAAAGCCAGAATTTTTTCGGTTCGGTTCGGTTGTAGTTTTATTGGATTTAGATCGGTTCTCAAAATTTAATTAATCTCGGACATATAATCGAAACATATTTTGCTTCAAAGTTTCAAAGACAGACCAACCAAAACGTCATATTTTGGATTCTTAGGTTTCGTCGGATCGACCCACTTTTTTTTTTTTTTGAATACCAAACCGCAATTCCTCCAGATCTAAAACCACATCATATAATATTAGTTTTGTCCCAAACATTATTAAAATCAGCGACCTCTAAGCTTCGCCTAGGGTCTTTACCAGTTGAGTTAACGACACTTGGTAGATCGACCCACTTTCGGATCTTAAATTTTGGCGAAATTTACCAATTTTATTGTTTTGGGTTTTGCGGATTTGGGTTTTGAAACCAACCCAAACCAAACTGAAACCCAAAACAAATCTATTTAGGATCTATTCGGGTAAATTAACCGAAACCGTACTTAACCAGATTTTTTGGGTCGATTCAAGTTTTTGTTTTTTGGATCTCCGGGAAGATGGTTAAGATACAGTGGTTACGAACCTCTTTTCAACGTCACTATGCCTTTATCGGACCGTGACTAATCATCAATCTCCCGAAGTCTTCGTGGAATTGTTTTCGACTCGCCATTCTCTCGCTTGTGGCAAGCTACTCTCAAGTTCTTGTCTCCGATGTTTGGATCTTCCGTCGAATTATTGTATCTACTTTCTCTACCATTTGCTTGTTAGAATGCTAGTTGCTATCTTTGATGTTCCCAACCATGTGTTGGATGTTTGTTTAAACTTTGTACTTGTTATGATCAATGAAATCAAGTATGTTTTGCCCAAAAAAAAAGTTTTTTGGATCTCCATTCCCAGTCGGATCAACCCGCTTTAATCATTTCGGATCTTAAAGTTTTGGGCTTGGGCCAGGTTTTCAAAAATCAATACTTGACCCGATCAACCGAACCCGTTTCTGGAAATACCCATCTTCAACAGGTGACGCGCAAAACCGAATCAACGTTCATTTGTGAAAGACTGAAATCTGTTAACTTTTTTCCTGGAGAATTTTCGTGAAGATTTTATAGATATCTTGATGGGTTTATCAAAAGGTAGATTAAAAGCATGGTTCAATAAGAAAATCACTGATCCTCTTCTCCAGATCTTGCGTAGGTTTGTCTTCTTTGACTATCTTTGTCTCTCTTTACATGGATCTAGAATTAGGACTAGTTTTGTTATTGATATGGAATCAGATAGATCTCATGTGCTATTTTGTTGATTTGTTGGTCTTAAAAACTAGACTTATGCATTTTTGCTTCTTGTTGTTGGTTTGTTAATTTGGAAAGTTGGAGAGACTATATAGAATAGTTAAAGGTAGAGTCTTTATTCTTGTATTTTCATGTAGCTTCTAAAGGATCTTTAAAACATCTCTTTCTTTGTTATTGGCATACATGAGAGACCATGTAGAACAGTTAAAGGTATAGTCTTTATTCTTGTATCTTCATGTAGCTTCTAAAGGATCTTGAAAACATCTGCTTCTCTGTTGTTTGAACACAAGAGAGACCATTTAGAACAGTTAAAGGCAGAAGCTTTGTCATTGTAGTTTCATGTTGCTCCTAAAGGATCTTTTGGGCATCTGTTAGAGATAGATGTATCAGCATCTCTGTCTCTGTTGCAGAATGGTTTGATGTTTGTAAAGTGATTTGAGTTTGATTTTGTTTTTGTTTTCGATTTTCGTAGAGGTACCGAGCCAAAGCAGCTTGCTTTCTCTGCCGCACTGGGTATTACTTTGGGGATATTTCCGATATGTGGTACGTGTCTCTCTCCATTCGTTTGTTTCCTAAGCTTACTGCTTTTTGCTTTGAGATTGCAATGTATCTTATTTGGGGGTCATTTTTGCTATGAAATAGGTGTTCCTGTGTTTCTATGTGGAGTAGCTTTTGCGTTGCTCGGATCTGCTTGTCATGCTCCAACTGTGATGTTGGCTAATATTATTGCCACTCCAGTAGAACTAGCGTAAACCTTTTAATCTTATGAAATTTACCACTTTTATCAAAAAAAAACTATGCATATCAGTTTTGTTCCTGACTTGGATTTTGGTTTTCCTTTCCATGTCTTTCTTATTGAAGTCTCGTGGTGCCTTTCCTAAGACTTGGTGAAAAAGTCACTGGTGGACCTCATTTTCCTTTGACATCAGATGCTCTAAAGAAGGTTTTCACTGGTCAGGCCTCTCAGGAAGTCTTTTTAAGCATTGGTAATGCGGTAAGTAGCTACAATGAGTCTTTTTCTTTTAGCGTACTAGTGGAAAATGCTGAACAGCTTGTTGCATTTCGTAGCCTGATATTATTTTTGCTAGTCTGATGTTTAGCTCGTAAATTGCCAATGTTCACATACCTCAAAGATAAGTCTTTGATTTAACTTCTATGGTTATTGCAGTTACTAGGGTGGCTCGTAGCAACTCCATTTTTCTTTATTACGTTATATGTTGTGTTGCTGCCATGTTTCAAAATCCTCGTCCGCAAATTTGGCGCCGGTAATTCGACCCCAAAGTTACCTACTACAAGTATGGAGACAGAGCTCAACCCAAAGCCAAGAGATGCTTAAATTCAACAACACTTAGAAACCTCACTGTTCTTTTTATCAACACGAAGCCCCTGAAATTGTAACATCGATATGCATAGACTAATGTATAGAGTATACCACACACACTTGCATTGTCAAAACCTCATACTCTTGTTTGTTTGTAAACTCTTTTGAAAATGTCAGTAACTGAAAGTACTGGTGGTTATACATTTGAACGCCTAAACTTGGCAGTCCATACATAAGCGTAAAGCCCATTTTTATGGGTTTGTTCTTGTATTGACTAAACGGAATAGATACTTGTGAGGTTTGACTAAAAGGAAACTACTACCAAGTTTGAGATCTATCAATGAGCATTTACATAGGAGGCGGTGTTGCACCGACCGAAAGAGGCGGCGGCGCTTCACCTTTTTGTAGCGGGGGACATGTTTTGACTTTTGAGGCAATCTTCGGGAAATATGATAGGGTCTTAAAAGCACAGGTTTTGATGTGGTAGCTGAGTTTTCTGTTTATGGTTGGCCAATGGTAATATGATTTTCTGACAGGAATTACCTAAAGGAAATTGGTTTTGCTCCATGGACTGTACGAGGATCAACTCCACATTACAAAAGTTACTTCTTGGTGGGGCGGAGAAGCTTTCAGATTCTTGTTTCGGAATAATACAGACGAAGCAATAGAGAAATGATGTATATTCCATCAGATGGAGACTGACCAGCGGCAAAGTTACTTTACCTGAAAGCCGAATGTTACTATCTTAGGCATTGGCTATTTTTCATGTAAGTGCCTCTGCATTTCGAAATTTAGAGTTAGAAATTTATATGTGATAGCAATTATTTTGTTTCGATTTGATAATTAGTGCTGTTAAACAAAGAACAAACTGGTTTATAGATGATGACTGGTTCTCTTTCCATTTAAATCTTGAAAGGAAAATTATGTACATAATACACAAAAGGCAAAGGAAGGTTGAATAGGTCTACATTATCCTAAAGTATAGTAACTTAATACTTGAATCATGTATATATATGTATCATGTATGAAATAAATTATCATCTTGATTTGGTTAGTATGTACAAATGTCTTGAAATGCAGAAACTTATGTTTCTCTCTGCATTTTTAATGGAATCATATGACAAACATTTTCTCTCAATAGGAATTTGCTAAAACTCTACCATCGTTCCCTAAGTTTATGCGGTGTCTTTTCCGAGAATGGTTTACGGGTGAGGACACTTCCATCAATGCCTGCTTCAAGTAGCCTGACTTTGAAATACCTGTTTTGACTGTTATGTAAGATTTCTTCCCTGTCGCTATCTAGCCAGAGGCCACATTTATATTGCGGTTAAACATTGGTTTGGCTTGTATACAGTGCGACTGTTGTTGCTGCTGGACTACTAAGAGTATTTGGCCGAGAGGTTGCAGAACTTCCATTAGTTGCAACACGCATGTGCAGCCGAGAGAAGGTAATGTCTTTGAGGTTCCTTCCTTAATCGAGGTTTCATGAGGTTTCTATACAAAACAGGGCTACTTTCAATTGCTCTTTTCATGCATTGAGAAGCTACTCTCATCCCTGAATGTTGGAAGCATAGTGGTTCCAGCAGCTGAAGAGGAAGAGCATTTATGGATGAACAAATTTGGGTTCAGAAAACTTGCACCTGAACAAGTAAAGCGATGAATTTAACTAGTTTGTGAATTGTGTAGCTTTTGAAATTTGTTCTAAGAGAATCTCACAACAATTAAACACCCTTCGTTGCTACAGCTCAGTAAGTATATAAAGATATGCTACCAAATGGTGAGGTTCAAAGGAGCATCCATGCTGCAGAAACCAGTTGATTCACACCAAATCATTGAAAATGGAAACTTTGGATTTGAAACAAGCCAATTAGTTGTATGTTCATCTTTTGCGTTGAAGTAAAGCAAGTCATGGATTTAGAGATAATATTATAATAAGAAAAATGTTTTTCTATGGATTATATATCAAGATTGTTTCTGTCAATTTATTTGTGTGTTATCTATTCAAATGCTCCACCAAAATTATTGTGAAAACAAAACTGAGTGGAATAAAATTATATATTAGTAGGATTGTAGTACAATCCACAAGATGCCATAGTTATGTTTGTATTGATTTTAATATTGGAAATTTGAAGAGAAATAATTTTGTTGGTTTAGCACATCTCTCTACGTAAATGGTACTTTCTCTGTCCTTATACTCTCTCCGTTTCGTTCTACTTAGTCGTTTATAGTTAAAATTTTGTTTCATATTACTTGTCGTTTTATATTTATAATACAAATTTATGACTGATTTTCCAGTTTTAACCCTACTTTTTAAGCTCATTAATTACATATATCAAACAAAATAATGTACTCCCTCCGTTTCATATTACTTGTCGTTCTAAGTTATTTCACACAAATTAAGAAAACGATTAAAGTTATTGTTTTACCCCTAATTAATACATTATTTTGTATTTTTGTTTGATATATGTAATTAATGAGCAGGTTAAAACTGGAAAATCAGTCATAAATTTGCATTGTAAATATAAAACGATAAGTAATATGAAACAAAATTTTAACTCTAAAATGACAAGTAAAACGAAACGGAAGGAGTATTAATTAGGGGTAAAACAATAACTTTAATCGTTTTCTTAATTTGTGTGAAATAACCTAGAATGACAAGTAATATGAAACGGAGGGAGTATTAGATGTTTTGGTTAAAAGCACAAAGATTAAAAAACAATAAATATTTTCTCATTTATAAAAATTCAATCAATAGAAAAAGACATGAAATAATTTAAATAATTAAAAACTATTAAACTCAAGATGGAACAAAGAAAAAGCCTAAAACATAATATATATATTGGGATGGATGGAGTAATGCATTTCACTAAGCGAAGTTTACTAAACTTTCTCAACCTAACTATTTTCCTCAAACCATTCTCCACCACCGTGCTAAAGATTTTGATAAGCTTTGAATCTTGAAACATCTCAGAAACTCAAAAACTCTTTTAAGTATGTCGGTCAAAATGAACTTCACCATCACCATTGCTCTTCTCTCAACAATATCATCTCTCTATGATCATGCTCCTATCTCTCGATTTCTCTTGTTTTCACTGTTGATGCACATGGTTATGTTTTGAGTAAATGTTAGCAGTGTTTAGAGTGATATCATCCATAGATATCTTTAGCAGTGTTTAGAGTGCTATCTATAGGAGTATTATGTAAATAATGCTTAGTTAGAATACTAAATGTAATTTTTGTATAATTAGCTAAACCCTAATCTTCTCTAGACTTTGTATAAATATGTGTAATCCTCATTCTCTCATTGATAAGATTGATACAATCCTTATATGGTATCAGAGCAAACGCTCCTAAACCTAAAACCTTCAAATTTTTCTTTCCAGCCGCCGTCAACACCATGTCGTCTTCCAACACGCACGATAACGTCATCTCTCTCAATTCAAACGCCATTGTTCACATCAACATGGCTAACATTTCTAAGCTCACCGCTGACAATTACCTCACCTGGAAACTTCAGGTCCATGCCCTTTTTGATGGGTATGACCTCGTCAAGCATCTCGATGAATCTTCAGAAGTCCCACCAGCCACTGTTACGGTTGGAACCACCACTTCACCCAACCCAAATTTTGCGAAATGGCGACGTTAGGACAAGCTCATTTACAGCGCTCTCATTGGGACTATCTCACCTCCGCTTCAGAAACTTGTGGCTCGCACCACCACTGCCGCAGAAATCTGGACAAAGCTAGCCTCTACATATGCCAATCCGTCTCGTGGTCATCTCCTTATTCTACGGGATCAACTCAAGGTGATGAACAAGGGAACCAAATCGATTGACGAATACATTCAAGCTGTCACTGCTCGCCTTGACCAACTCGCTCTCCTTGGCAGCCCTATGGAGCACGAGGATCAAATCGAGCTCATTCTCAATGGGCTTCCCGAGGAATATCAGCCTGCCATTAATCAAATCCAAGGCAAAGACAAAACCCCTCAGATCACGGAAGTCCATGAAAGGCTTCTTAATCATGAAGCCCGACTCCTCACCAGACTAGCTGCGGCAACATCCACAATTCCAGTCTCCGCCAACAACGTCCAACAGCGCACCGGCTACAACAACAACCGCAACAACTCCGGCAAACGGAACAACACCAACAACAACTCGTGGCAGCCATCACAGTACCAAAACAAACCCGACACCCGTGCTTCCAAACCCTACTTGGGCAAGTGTCAATTGTGTAATACATAGGGACACAGTGCTCGCCGCTGCCCACAACTCAATGCTCTCCAAGCATCCGCCGGTGCTCCTCCGAACTCTCCATTTCGCCCGTGGCAGCCACGCGCGAATCTTGCGATGGGTTCCACGTATCCGGCAGCTCCTTGGCTTCTTGACTCGGGTGCGACACATCACCTAACTTCTGACCTCAATAATCTCGCGCTTCATCAACCTTACAATGGCGGGGATGATGTTCTCATTGCTGACGGCTCTACCATGTCCATTTCACACACGGGTTCTTCACTTCTACCAAATCAAACTCGTGCTTTACTACTTGATAAAATTCTATGTGTTCCCGATATACAAAAAAATCTAATCTCGGTATATCGTCTATGTAACACTAATCGTGTGTCTGTTGAATTTTTCCCTGCCTCATTTCAGGTGAAGGATCTCAGCACGGGGGTCCCATTATTCCAAGGCAGGACTAAGAACGAGCTGTATGAGTGGCCGGTGACATCTTCAAAACCGATGGCAATGGTGTCTTCTTCTGGTCCAAAAGCTACTCTCACATCTTGGCATTCAAGATTGGGACATCCCTCTTCGTCTATTTTGAATTCAATTATTTCTAAGTTTTCTCTTTCAATTTCATCTTCTTCACAAAAACATTTATCTTGCTCCGATTTTCTTATTAATAAAAGCCACAAGCAACCTTTTTCTCAAACCTCTATTGTTTCCACAAGACCACTTGAATACCTTTATACCGATGTTTGGACATAACCAATTCTTTCTATCGATAACCACAAATACTATCTTGTTTTTGTTGATCATTTCACCCGTTATACATGGCTTTATCCACTTAAACGCAAATCGGATGTCAAAGAAATTTTTCCAGCTTTTAAAGCTCTTGTTGAAAATCGTTTTCAAAACAAACTTGGAACATTGTTTTTCGGACAACGGAGGGGAATTTGTTGCTCTACGCGGATTTCTTGCAATGCATGGTGTCTCACATCTCACATCTCCACCACATACGCCAGAACATAATGGGATTGCCGAACGCAAGCATCGACACATAGTGGAGACCGGTCTAACTTTAATGTCTACTGCTTCAATTCCAAAGAAGTATTGGTGCTATGCCTTCGCCACTGCTGTCTACTTGTTGAATCGCATGCCAACCCCGGTTCTCTCTATGGCATCTCCATTTGAAAAACTGTTTGGGCAGTCACCGAATTATACGAAACTGCGGATCTTTGGTTGTTTATGCTTCCCGTGGTTGAGACCATACACGACACACAAGCTTGACGATCGCTCGCAACGTTGTGTCTTCCTTGGCTACTCTACCTCTCAGAGTGCGTATTATTGCTTACATGAGCCGACGGGACGAGTTTATGTCTCTCGTCATGTTCAATTTGAGGAGTCCATATTTCTTTTTGACACTAAGCCGAATCCAACGATTGAGGAAGAAACGCAGGCCGGCACCTCAAGCTTGTCATCTCCTTTATCGCACTCTCTCTCCGGGCCAGACCGTCTCTCGCCGGAATTACCACCACCGGTATCGTCGCCGGCGCTTGTGGCACCGGTGGCTGCAGCTCCGTTGACTACCGATGCTCCTCACTCTCGAAGTGTTGAAGAAGAAGAAGTTGGTTCTGGTGGGCCTACAAATCACTTGAATTTAAATGAGACAGGCCCAACAACATTTAATAAGGAGGCCCATCAACAAATAACACCATTAGGCCCGTCCACCACTCACCAACACCACGATCTGTCGTCTTCTTCCTCCGGTTCCGCTGACAGCAGCTCCTCTTCACAGTCATCGCCGTTCTCATCAAGTTCAATGGGACCCCCACGCTACGACCTTCACCCGCCGTCACCGCCGAACTCCACTACGCAGGTATTGTCTCCTAATTCTATCTCCTCCTCTTCTTCTACCAATTCTGAGCCCACTGCTCAAAATCAAAATGAGTCGCAAACCTCGACTCAGAAAAACCGACTTCCCCACGAGCCCACTGCTCACCGCCAAAATGAGCTGCGACCTACAGCTCAGACTTAGCCACAAACAGATTCCCAAACATCACACCAAGCTACGTCTATTCAACCACATAACCAAATTTTAGCACCACCACAAAATAACCACAATATGCAAACTAGAGCCAAAAACAATATCAGAAAACCCAAACAGAAACAAAGCCTGACAGTTACAGCTCATCCACAAACCGTAAAGGAGCCTACAACGATACAACAAGCCTTAAAAGACGAGAAATGGAGCCGGGCGTGTTCCAGTGAGTTTGATGCTCTAGCACTTAATCGGACATGGGATTTAGTTCCTTCACTAACAGTTGAGAATATTGTTGGTTGCCGATGGGTCTTCACCACCAAATTCCTTGCAAACGGAATGTTAGATCAATACAAGGCAAGACTCGTCGCCAAAGGATTTCATCAACAATATGGGAAAGACTATGCGGAAACCTTTAGTCCGGTTATCAAATCGACGACGATTCGTCTCGTTCTTGAAGTAGCAGTTACAAAGAATTGGCCAATCAAGCAATTGGATGTTAACAATGCGTTCTTACAAGGCGAGCTTACCGAAGAAGTCTATATGTCGCAACCACCGGGATTTGTTGATAAGGATCGTCCTTCATATGTTT